TGGGGTATGTCAATGTAAACAAGTTTCACACCTTCGCGTTCTTTTGTTTACAAAGAAACAACATAATTACGTATAATTCCATGGATTATAGTATTGGTACATGTACATGTATTAAGACCGTATATTGGGACTTCTTCTAAATCGATATACGTTTAAATCCTGCTGCATCGTATAACCCGTTAAGAGAAAGAAAAAATCCAAATTATTTGTAAATATTAATTATAAATAAAGTTTTTAAAAGGATGCTTGGATGCCCGGAACGTTTATTATGGCCGGAACCAAACTTACGCGGGCCGGAACATTTATTATAGCCCGGAACCAATATTAAAGGTATTTAGCGTTTCGGTCGGAACGCTAAGTTACCCGGAACGTAAATTATGCGACACCGGCGCGTCACTTCTACCAGAAGCGACCGCGGTTACTTCTAATAAACAAAGACTGCATGCAACGCTCACGTAGACTGTTGCACAGGTAAAATACTGTTCCGCGAATCGCTATAAAGCAATGTTGGTTTACGAACAGACTTGCCAATATTTTCTCGCTTGCCGTCTTCTTCTTCTGCTGCTCCTATCTGTATCTCTATCTGCTACTCTATTCGTAACTCTATCATTAACAGTTGATTAACTAACTTAATTAAGTATCGGAGGATATGTCACGTGATCAGCCCACTCGGAATTCTTGGGAACTCGGGGTTTCGCGGAACGTTCTGTTCCCTTTAAGAACATCTTAAGTTAAGAATCCTATAATACTACTAGTATGCACACACTTGCCAAAACATCTTTTACATAACGTAAAAAAATCCATTTACATGTACATGTGACTTTAGTATATTTTGATATTTGCATCTTTTAAATTATAAGATATTTAATTAATTTAAAATACTGCATGTAAATCGCATCGATACAAGCTATTTTTTCTACCAAAATAAAAGATTTAAATTTAAAAAAAATATCTTACATTCAGTGATCTACCTGGATGATGATTATGATATGTATTATAAAAGTCTGTGTAATTTTTTTTGAAAAATAAGCTGATAAAAATGAAATGAATTCTGCATGACTCGAAACCATGTATTCAAACGGAGAACTTACTATTTTAAAGGCAATGTATTGGAACTCTCAATTGTTTAAATATTTAAATATTCATTTGATTCACTTCTCTCTTTGGTCCCTTACAGATAAAACTTTAATGACTGTTCCCCCTTCTTTTGAATAGTTTCATTGTCTCATCATAGCACGTAGTATGCCGGGAGGGGCTTATTCCCCGAACGGCTACTCGCTAAAATCAACATCTAATTATCACACCCAATTAAGGGGCCCTCTAAAGGGTACAGGTAGACTTACCTGTATGAAATAAACTACCTGAATTTAAGTGTATATTTAAACAGAACAATCTATCAAGTAATTTTTAGTTCAATATATCCTGTAATTTTTTTAAAATTTATTTATCTATTTCATTTTATTTCTTTATTTATTTCTTTATTTATTTCTTTATTTATTTTTTATTTATTTATTTATTTTTGCTGTTAAATAATTTCGATTTCTATCTAAGGGTATACATTTAAGGTATTTCTACCTTTGGATTTTAAAGTAGAAAAACTGTATTTATTTTCACTGAGTATAGTTTAAATTAATCAATAAGTGCAATAGATATATAAATTGTCATACCTTTTCTAAGACGTAAGACATAAAAAAAGTGTATGTTCAGCATAAAAAAACGTTCATTTTTAGTAAACATTATTAAAAATTATACTATAACTGGTTCGAATGGATAATTCGGATGCTTAAAGTTCCAACATAATTGTCACTTTCCAAATATGTTCTCATGCTAAAGGTTCAAAATAATTGTTACTTTGTAAGTATGTTTGAACTGTGAATATCAAGGAACCATTTTACATTAGAAATACAATAAATAAAATGCCTGAATGAAGATACATGAGAAGGAGTTCTTGTCCTAAGCAACATCTTTTAAAGAGTTTTGTTGATTAAAAAAAGAAAGTATTACTTTTGAAAATTATTTTTCTAAACATTTTTTTCTTATGCCTATTGAAAAGCATTCTTCCAAAAGATGTATTTCTATTTGGTAAAAATTTAAATTAATAATTAATTAATTACAGTTTTGGCAAAAACATATGACACCATAGAAAATTGGAAATACCTTGACAAGTAATAACTTCCAGGCACGAAGTTACAGAAGGACAGGAGGGAGTCTGCCCCCCCCCACTTTTTTCCAAACATAACAATATACTATTGAAAATGTTTACTGAAAGGCTGCCCCCCCCCCTTTTTCTTGTGGCAGTTAAGTCATACATTAGGCAATGTATTTTTAAAAAAAAAAAGTTGAGAAAAAGTTGGACCCCCACTTCAAGTTCAAAAAATTCCCCATCAATAGTATATTCAACACTTTGAAAAAAAAAATTTTAAATGTACCATAATATTAAAAGTTCAATAATACATAGCAATGTATAAAATATGTTTTGATATATTTTGATTTTTTTTTTCGTTTAAATTTATTTTTTAAATCTTTGGGTTTTTTTTTTTAAATTTAATAGAAAAAAAAATGAAATTTCATATTTTTATTTGATTTATCAAATATTGGTTATCCAGGTAAACACAGGTAAATCTATCAGTACCCCTTATAGGGCCCCTTAATTGTGTGTGATAATTACTTGTTGTTTTTGGCGAGTAGCCGTTCGGGGAACACACCCCGGGAGGAGGGGCTGGGCCCTCGTTATATTCTGAAAATAGTCTACACGTACTTCTGTGGAACAAGCAATCGTCGCTTATGCTCGCAATAGCATCACAACAAACTAAGGATGATCTTAGGACAAGATTTATGTTTTCCTAACTTTTAGCGAGGTCCTAAATTTAGAAAAGACTTCAGACTAAGACATTTTCTAAGACGTTCTTAGGACATATCGTAGTCCTAAGATAGTTTCGTCAACATGCCTGCAGGATTTTAAAATGCTTTGCCCAATCATTTTTCCATTAATTAATGCAGTTTAACGGCGAACGTGTGGGTTGAACATACATTAATAAAATGTTTAATGCAACGTACGTTTTATTTTGAAAATGTTTTATTTGGTAACCAATGTATGAAAAAAAAAGTATAAATAAACCTAGAATCTATAAGACCGCGGAACATTAACTGGCAAAATTGGAAATACGCAGCTTACGTCATTTCCATCTGTTTCAGTCAAAACATTTAATGGTAGACAATGAAATGGGCGGGGTACAATTTTACACGGACGTCCGTGAAAACATTGGATTGAAATTCTAGTTTGAAATTCATTTTCAATCCACCTGAGCTGTTTTCAATCGCTAAGTGTGAATGTATGATCCAAAAGTCAAATAATTTCAATTCCCAAATACATGTTGTTTGAAATTCATATTTATATGAGTTTTCTAGCCTATATTTTTTTAAATGGACACGTAAAAGTCATAGAAGACAGAGATCATTTTTTCAGGGGACGGTCATTTGATTCTAGAGGGGCAAAAATTGTCGAGTCAGATCATGCCTTCATATGACAAAATATATTTATTTCTAGGATGACATTAGCTATTTTCTTTTGTTCATTGAAAAATGTTTGACAATCAAAAACAGGGAGAGGTTGTCCGAACTAAAAAGAAAAAAAAACTTTCTTTTTTATTTCCAAGATTGTTCAGCTCCTCCATCCCCCCAACACACGCATGCACATACCTAACAGAAATCAAATATTTGTCCCTTTATATTTTTTTTTAAACACTGGACAGAAATTCTGATTTATATAAATTTCAAACTATTCCGAAATTGACTTATTGTCTGTCTTCTGGGTCAATCAGTGACACCGTGCCTTCTAGCGTAGCTGAGGTGGATTGAAAATGAATTTCAAACTAGAATTTCAATCCAATGTTTTCTCGGACGTTCGTGTCGAATTGTACCCGCCCATTCCATTGTCTATCATTAGATGTTTTCATTGTAACAGATGGAAATGATGTATGCTGCATATTTCCAATTTTGCCAGTTAACTTAAATACGCATGCTTAAATAATTTATTAATGGCTTTGACACGACGGCTTCACTTCGATGTACTAATGAATCCTGGGCGGGGCATTTATGTCCTATGGACGTATCTCTAGTTTTTTGTTGTTGTCTTGTGTGTGTGTGTGTTTTTATTTGTTTTGGGTTTTTTTTCTTGTTTTTTGTTTCTTATCTCATCACCTACCTTGACCTTGATGTTTGAACTACTTAAAAAATTTTAAACCTTGGCCGTAGCTTTTGCACCTGAAGAGACAAGGCTTTCATATATACATTAACCTGTGACGTCATTTCCAAATATGAGTTTCGACGTCATGACCTAGACCTTGAAATTTGACTTCAAAGACTTTAATCTTGGTCATGGCTTTTGCACCAATACACAGTCAAGGCAGGACAAGCCTTTAGACAGTTACAACACGCCACAGATCACTACACTGCTACTATAAGACCCCCTCATCGGGGAACAAGATTTCTCTCTGACTTTGTATGTTTTCTCCAGTTAGGAAATTAGAAATGTGATTGTTATTCTGAAAAGTATGCAGGCACGTAGTATTGCCTCTGAAAGTCAAGGGCCAGCCAAGGAAATAATTTGGGGAAATTTTTACAAACAAGAAAATCCTATTTAGTTGGGGTCGGGGTTATTCCAACTTTTTTCGACAAGAAAATTTTAAAATACATTACCGTCCGAGAATACTAAGCTGAGGCCAACCAGTGTTTCAATCAACATTAACAGTAAAAAAAAATGTCTGACAAAGGGGTCAGTCCTTGCCACTGCATGCCTGAGGATGGTTTACTGTTTTGAAGTTTTAGAATCAAATTTTGGTAATGTCGATAATGTACACAGAATAATTAAACCTGTTACATTTAGCTTGCAGTGAAGAAAGGGTGTCGAACCAAATTTTTTTTAAAACACGTTTTATGTGCAATGTAATGTTGTGCTTTAATATTTGTAGTTTGTCATTAAAAGTTAGCCCTGACTATCAGACTGTTTAATTATCAATGTAAGACTTTATTTTTAGTATTTGCACATTAAACACGATATGCATTTTCTGTTGATATCCCTTAAAACATCAACTGACATGAGACATCACACTATCATTTACATTATTATGATTGCCTGCAATATGACTTAGAATGTCAGCAATACTCTCAGTCTGTCAGTGTCATATAGTATCTGTCATGACTTCAGAGTGATCAACAGATTATACATAAACAATGGAAGCACATGATTGTCTATTTGTGATGTGGTGGCCTCAAGAAGGGAAGTTACTGCGATGATTCCTGCCACAGACAAAAAGTGATTGTGTAATACTCCACCTGGAACTAACAAAAATATATTGGCAATATATTTTAATTATCCAAAATACTTGAAAAACTTTTATATTTCCAAGCAAAGGATTTAACTTTATCAGGCACATTTCATACATCTATAGCAATTGAAATCAATTATAATCAGTGTTAAGTCTTTTGCACATAGATCAGGGGTCAGATGTCAATAATCTGACAGGTGCTCCAACCCAGCCCACCCCCTACCTGACTGAAATCTGCTGTTATAGAACATTCTACTCTGTTCTGCTCACTAATGGTGCAGAGTGCACAGTACAATACAGACAATTTTAATTAGAAATCTTTTATTTCATCAACTAGTGACTGATTCTTTAAACATCACACAATAGCACTTTGACAGATATAACATTTGATAACATTTGCATCCTAATATTTGTACCTAAAAGACATTTACAGACACACTCTAATAGTATATCATCTCTCTCTCTCTCTCTCTCTCTCTCTCTCTCTCTCTATATATATATATATATATATATATATATACTTACTGAAATGACCTAACATGAAGATAAAAATGAGCTGGAATATTATGGAAGCTACAGTTCCTTCAATTGACTTCTGACTTCCTATAAAGGTGAAAATACAAAACATGAGTAAAATCAACAGATTTGACTACCAAAAATACAATCTCTTCCTTATTTACATACCAAATATCTTATGCTTTCCAAATGCACTGCCAACAATAGAAGCCATAGTGTCTCCAACCCCAATGGACAGAACTCCAGCAAACAGTGGGAGGACATCACTGAAGTCACACCCTAGTAAACAGAGAATGGGCAACTGAAGTCTAAAGCTGTCATGAAAATAAAATTACATGTGGTACAATGGACAAAACTCCAGCAAACAGTGGGAGGACATCACTGAAGTCACACTCTAGTAAACAGAGAATGGGCAACTGAAGTCTAAAGCTGTCATGAAAATAAAATTACATGTGGTACAATGGACAAAACTCCAGCAAACAGTGGGAGAATATCACTGAAGTCACACCCCAGTAAACAGAGAATGGAAAGTTGGGAGTCTAATGCAGTCATGAAAATAAAATTACATGGTACATGTATAATGGAAAAAAACACCAGTTAACAGTGGCAAGACTTTATTTAAGACACACCCTGGTAAACAAAGAATAGAAAAGAAAAACTGAAGAACAAGTCATGAAAATTAAACTAAACATATCTATTTATTCAAATCCAGACTATATAATAAACAATTATGAACTCTTTCGATGGTGAATATTGTTTGAAAAATATCAATATTGATACTTATCTGGTGAATATCAAACCATATTCACCATGGAAAGAGTCCATAATTTTATAATATTCTATAGTAAAAGAATTATTGACCTAATCTCTTACTCCATATGATAAATCAAAATGTTCATCCTCAGCTGCATATCTGATTTTTCAATAATCAAGACTTACATGTACATAAATATTTACAACAACTTTAGATCAGAAAATTTTCTTGACAGCTTATTTTGGTGATATAACTATTAGGTATATTTATCTGAGATGACTATTTGGTATATTTATATGTGATAACCATTTGGTATATTTATATGAGATAACTATTAGGTATATTTATAAGAAATAATTATTTGTAATATTTATATGAGATAATTATTTGTAATATTTATATGAGATAACTATTTGGTATATTTATATGAGCTAATTATTTGGTATATTTATATGAGCTAATTATTTGGTATATTTATATGAGCTAATTATTTGGATATTCATATGACAGACAGAATTTTTTAAGCATTCTGGTTATTCTTGTATATAATCTTGATGAAAAAAAGATATGCAAGAAAAACAATTTTCCTGAACAGACGGTCTCACGTACTTATGCAAAAATAAAGTTCTCCACAATAAAAAATTATTTACAGTATTTGAAGGGAATTAAGTAAAATGTTACAGATTTATAAGTGATTTCATCAGATGGTGTACAGTGATATGTATATTTTTATTTATCATATTTTTCAATGGTGATACTGTAATGTGTCCATTACATAAAATAGATATTTTCACAAGTGTTATTTTACAGTGCGAATGTACATATGTATATTAAAAAATCCAGTCTCACTGATGAAATGCAAGAAAAAGTGAACAATATCATATTCCATACACTCCCACATTGCTTGACAATGCTACACATAATGAATGGTAATGCTATGCATTAATGATTACATCCTCTTGTTTTATTGCTATTTGTGAAAATCAATCTCATCCAAGACACAATTAAATCAAAATGTCCTAAGAATGCACATCTTTCCACATAATTTCATATTATATCCTCTATATATTCATGCATTCACAAATGTAGTTTCTACTGATAATGTGTGTTAATTTACAGCAGCATACCGGTACTTGTGTACACATTGGAAAATATGCTATATTTTAATTTTGCCAGTACCTGGTATATGTCTTCATATATAAATACTGGGTTATCCCTAGTGTTAGCTTACATTGGTAGGTGTGGATCCAGAGAGGGAATGAGAGGCCACACAGAAGGTATATAGGGGTCAGGACCAGTCTTCCTTCATCCTGGGAATCCAGAAACACAGAGTAACACTTATGGAAGAATGGACCAAAAACAGGGACCTCCAGGAGTCTCAAGGTCTGAAAAAAGAATGTGTTCCATCTTTAAAATATTGTACCAAGAGATATAGCTGTAATCAACAAATGGGCAATAAATCTCAGTTACTTCAAAATAAATGTATGCACTCAGAGACCTACTTGTATGTATTTAGAAATCTATGCTGACATTATACAAAAATATTATTAATTGTCAATTTTAAAACATGCCAGACACTTTTCCAAACTGACAACATGAGAACAGTGTTTAATAGTCATGAAATAAACAAGTAATAATAGCAAACATATTTATTTTATTCATCTTCAAAAATGTAAAAATAATACACAGATCTGTACAATTTGTACAATAATGCAGATCCACAGAAACCTCAAAACTTTCATATTTAATGGCTGGTCTGCCACCTGGTGGCCAGTTATGACAAATATGCATTCTATAACTTTCTAATAATAACCATCGGCATATAAATACATGTAACTAGATATTTTGATCCATATTGCAAACATGACAGGATGAGATCTTCAGTAAGTCAAAGAAAAATTAAAGCTACAAAATAGTATGTACCATCTTTGTTCAAATTTATTAAAAAAAGTAATCCTCAGGAAGCTAAAAATAATCAGCTTAAAAAAAATAGGAGATCCATGTTACAGGAAGAGTAAATGTTCTCAAATTTCTACCTGTTGAAAAGCTCTTATCAAGGGCAGCATTCAATAGAATAAGATAACACCAAATCAAAAGAAAAGGTGAAGGTTAAAAAAAAGGTCAAGGTCTCAAATTTATAGCTGCTAATGAGATTTTGTGAAAAACAAATTCTTGCCGCTATTTTAGAAAACTATCTCAATAAATCTGCTAGGGATATTCAAAGTTATAAGAAATAGGGATGGTATCTCAAAAAATTTTGTGTTGTGATATATCACGATTTTTTTCCAAAATATCAAGATAATATCATGATATTTTTACAAGCAATTTTTACAATGATTTTATACATGAATATTCATAATTTTTCCTAAAAATATGCTGGAAAAGCAATTTTACTTTTTTTCATTATTTTTTTATTTATATAATATAAAGCTTGTTTGCTTGTCAATGACACAATAACCTGTAACAACAGAAATGCACTACTGCATGTACATGTTTCAGTGTTTGAATTAAGTTGCATGCTGGAAATCATTGACAAATTTATGATCACAGATTTTGAGGATAATCTGAGCTTTTCAAACAAAAGTACAAATTTTGATTTAAAAAAAAGAACTTTTCAGTCTTTCAGTGGGTATCAAGACATTAATTATTTGTACCTCTGCTATGATCATGCATCCTAGAGCCACCCAGGAAGCTGCAAACAACAGTGTGGCATCATATATCAATCCTGGTACATATACACCAAGTACTAGGAAATGGAACACTTTCCGTACACTCGTTGACCTACTTTTGGACGTTTTATTGTTCTGGTTTATCACAGTAATGCAAAGACTGACGAGCACAAGAAAGCTCCACCAACCAAGTAGATAAACCTATAAATAATGGTTAGCAGTACAGTGCTTGTAAATGATAAATCGAAATAAACAAATATGATTGAGGTACAACTTTCTACCATTTACAGGTACATGTATTAATATGCATATATAATTGTAATTGTTCATTTAAATTCAATTCAAATTACAGGAAACACTCATAACAGGACTTACCCTGGCCTGAGATTGAGTCAGAAACAGAAAAATTGCTCTGTAGGGCAGTGGTGTACCAAACAACTTGATTAAAATTGGCAAAAGAACGGCTACAGCTGCCAGACCATAGGACAACACAAAACGCAGACCACTGTTATTTATGCGGATCACACAAATAAAAACAGTCCCTGACAAAACTCCTACATAAGCTAACTGCAAACAAAGAACAGGGGAGACATTTACCAATGTTAAGTTTCTAAATGTTTTTGACTTTGCTTCATGAAAAAGTACTGCTTTTCTTATAATGACTGCTGAATTATAAGACAACTTACAAGTGGTATAGAAAGACTTAATGGTAAACTTATGCTTTGGACACCTTTCTTCAATGCCTGTAAAGAAATATGAATCAAATTTAGTGTAAGTTAGAGAATGATCTTCTCTCTATTTAAAAAGATAAGAATACAATATTTAAAGGTTTAACGGAATTGTATTTTAAAAAGATACTGTGACTTAATTTTTTGTTTGGAGTCTTAATTCTCCGGAATTGATTTTGTGGAATCACAATTTCTGTTCCATCCGCAGGTAGAAAATTATGCGGATCATTTGGATTGCCATCAAATACCTTAGATGTACTTTAAGTAAACTGTGACTTTTTGCAAAAAATTTGTGATAAAGTGTAAACTAATACCATGAGGAAAAAAGTATGTCTACAGTATCTTAAAAAAGGTTTTTCTCTTGCCTTGTATGAGATAACCAGAACAGGATAAAGAGGAATGATCAGTGTTTGTAAACAAACAGCAAGCTCTCCCTCAGTGAAGGACTTAGGAAACACAGCTGGTATTTTACCAAGCAGAATGTAGACAACAACACATAACAAAACAAAAACAATCTGTTCTGGTCTTCCTGGAATAGATAAGACGGTCAGTATTGTCAGCATTTAATTCAAATTGCAAGAAAGTTTGAAAATTTCTACAGCATTTTTTAACATCAGAAAATATGAATATAAAGAATTATACCTTTAGAGAGAAAGTCTTCCCTGAACCAGTAGAGCAGTCCAGCACATGTTAACTGAGTGATAGAAGACGGATTAAAATGTACTAAAACCAACACCACAGAAACCATGGCCAACATCACTGGCATATTATCAACTTCCTTCTCTGTGTAAAAAATATGTTAATCATTCAAACATTATTCTACATAAAGGGCAATTCATATTGAAGAATTATGAAGGTTTCATAGTCTATTTTCAGAACTTTTTTATAAGCTTAAAATCAATGAATAAATCTGTTTCAAAACCAAGAGAACATAAATATATATATATATATATATTTACATTTGCAAATGTTTTCTTTTATATAACACTATTAAAAGCAACTCGTATCTATATCCGTATAAACACGGGTTCCTCGCGTCATAAACGTTTGACATAATTTCTCAGTGACGTCGTAAAGGGTCGACGCGCAATTCAGTGGATCAAACACGTGCCGTTAGGTTTGAAAAATAAAACTATTCACGCGTTAAAGATTATAATCAGGCAAATATCAAATATGAATTAGTCACAAATGTAAATATAAGTAATAAGGTATCATTTTAAAACATCTATCGGGCTATAAATATGGGTTGGTACGAGATCAAATTTACCATAAAGCCCTTTGGGCTTTATGGAATTTGATCTCGTGATCAACCCGTATTTATATCCCGATAGATGTTTAAACATAGGTAATCAAAGATTACGAAGCTCACCTCGACGAATGTTATCTACATGTAAGGCAAATTTCACATCATATTTTTTTCTAGTTAGGGTACATCCCAAGATCAATATCCATGCAAGTTTGATTTAATTATAGATCTGCTCAAAAAACTTTTGACCTGTTTAGTAATCAAGAAAATTTTGGTCAGTTCCAACATCCAAAGCAAGTCTGGAAGTTTTCATCCTTAGATGCACCATCTATGCAAGTTTAATCATAACAGGCCATAATATTATATAGCTACTCCAAAAAATTACCCTGGTCACTCATCTGGAAAATGTACGTCAGATTCAGAATCCAAGGCAAGTCTGGAAGTATCCATCCCTAGATACATCATCCATGCTAATTTGGTTAAAATATGGCTAAAATTCACTCATGTGGAAAATCTAGGTCAGATCCAGCATTCGAAGCAGGTTGGTTAGTGTACATCCCTAGATGCATCATCCATGCAAGTTTGGTCCAGGTAGGGCTTATAGTTACTTGGGAACAAGACTACTCCTAAATCTAAACCTGGTCTCACATGTGGAAAATCTAGGTCAGATCCAGCTTCCGAAGCAAGTGTGGTAGTGTCCATCCCTGGATGCATCATCCATGCAAGTTTAGTCCAGGTAGGGCTTATAGTTACTTTGGAATGGACCTGCTCCTAAAACTTTAACCTGGTCACTCATCTGGAAAATCTAGGTCAGATCCAGCATCCGAAGCAAGTGTGGAAGTGTCCATCCCTAGATGCATCATCCATGCAGGTTTGGTCCAGGTAGGGCTTATAGTTACTTGGGAATGGACCTGCTCCTAAAACTTTAACCTGGTCACTCATCTGGAAAATCTACATCAGATCCAGCATCCGAAGTAAGTGTGGCCATGTCCATCCCTAGATGCATCATCCATGCAAGTTTGGTCCAGGAAGGGCTTATAGTTACTTGGGAATGGACCTGCTCCTAAAACTTTAACCTGGTCACTCATCTGGAAAATCTAGGTCAGATCCAGCATCCGAAGCAAGTGTGGTAGTGTCCATCCCTAGATGCATCATCCATGCAAGTTTGGTCCAGGTAGGGCTTATAGTTACTTGGGAATGGACCTGACGCCGGGGGTATAGCATAAGCTCATCTCGACTTCGTCGAGGTGAGCTAAAAATGATACCTTATTTCTTAAATATATATATATATATATATATATATATATATATATATATATATATATATATATATATACTCTGTAATTATGTACATAATGCACCATATGTGAGTGACCTTATGACTTACGTAAAAACAAGTTTGTTGTGAAAGCCAATGGTATCAGTAAACTACACCATAGTCCAGGATCACTCTTGCTTCTGTACAAACAGCAGTGTACATGTAATTGAAATTCAATAACATACCTATACAGGGCATAAATTTAGTACTAACTACTTAAACAATATGATTAAGAAGTAAATCCCTTTTATAATTGATCTTGAAATTTAGCATTAATGCATGTAATTGTCTGTTTAATCTTTATATACTCCTGACCCTTGAATTTCAGTTTAAAGAATATTTGAATATTTTCTAATTTTAAATTAATATCAGAAATAGTTAATCAAAAATTGCAAAGCTAATCATTAAATATTATACTCATTTCATTGATGTCATGTACATGATGTTATGTATATACATGTATTTTATACAATCTATTTTCTATTCTCGTATTTATCTGTCTGTGAATATGTTTCATAGAGGACCACAGTGTAAACTAGTCACTTGTTACTAATTGTGCTATCCTGTCTGAATAAGAAAAATTATTATTATTACCTCAACGAATATTAAGGGTGCAACGATAAACCGTTTGACGGTATATCGCGGTATATTTTTCCACGGTTCAATTCACGATACGCTAAACTGATATCGCGGTTCGGTTCAATCGGTCCAGAAATATCCGAATCGTCCGTTTTGTTTCCTTGTCGCCGATAACGCATTAACGGAAGTTAAACTCATCTCCAGCATTTTACAGACCTCAGATTTAACACTGAGAAGGACTTAATGTGATTATATGTTATAGATGTTAAGACAAATGATAAACCCTTTAGATCTAAACGTATTCTTTGGTAATACACGATATTTCATCATGTGTGTATTTCGATGAGAATTCACTGTCTTGTTGACTAAAACGTGTTAACACGAGAAATATGACAACTGGTTTTCTACGTAAATAAAAGGAATAAAAGAATGAATGTCTTCCTTTTTCATTCCAATTTAAAAGGAAGATTATTAGGAAAGGTCCCCGTAGTTCCCTGTAAATGTTCATCATTTGGTTTAGAATTATTGTCAAAACTCAAAGATCATAGATGTACCCAATAATCCAATTCAAGTTAACAAAATTTTATTTTAATTATTATCAAAAAAATATGAACATTTTATATAACCCTGTCAAGTTAAAGAAAAAATATGGTGACAAACTTGGAAGACTTTTTAACCTTGTCATGTATCGTGATACGTATCATATCATTAACTGAATACCGTGATACGTATCGTATCGTGAGGTTAGTGTATCGTTGCACCCCTAACGAATATAAGTAAGGCAAAGTCTCACACAAAATGAAAGTTCTGGTGGTGTGCATCTCTTTATAAGATGGTTTATTCATAGGGCTTTTAATTACTTGGGAACGGATCTGCTCCAAAAATTTTAACCTGCATGGTCACTCATCCTTTAAATTTAGGTCAGATCCAGCATCCAAAGCATGTCTGGTAGTGCATTCCTACATGCTTCATCCATGCAAGTATGGTCACCACAGGGTTTATAAATTTGTTTCTAAAACTTGAAGCAGGAAGCTGATGCAGAAAGTATAATAGAGGCTTTATATCTCTGCTTTGTCAGGGTGAGCTAAAAATGAAATGTTGCTATTGAATACTGCATTTTACGTTGGAATCATGTGGCAAGATTTTTCTGTAAATGATTTTCAAATAATGGTATAATTTTACCTGTAAACCTGAGATTGTTCGGTGGTGTCTGTAGTCTCTGCGGCCTTTCTATGAATGACTGGGACAATTTGATGAAGGGACATAAGAAGCATTAAACAAACTGAACAGCCTGTCAAGAACAAATTGCATGCAAGAACATTGTTTTAATTTAACCCAATAAAAAGAGGATTACATGTACTTTCTTAAATGTTGAAGAAAAAGAACAATGAAGCATAAAAATACATGTATTTTGAATTAATGCTAATTACGGTACACCTGCTTAGCCACCTATGAATGATGCATTAAGAAACATACCCAGAGTTTTTAAGTGATGTGCATCATTTGTCGACTGTTGGTTCCAGAAAAAGCATATGTAACTGTAAAACCCAATGATCACGCCTGCCTCAACGATTTTGAACACCATTTCTTCACAGAAAGCGACGTAGTAATGAATTTACGCCAATATTCAGGAAAACATAAAGTAACATGCGCTTTTAAAAGCCTTACTCAACTTCTTGCAGTTTCAGTTTGAATAAAAATACACCAAAATTCAAACTGGAAGCTTACATTTAGAAGTAAAAAGGAAAAAATTAAATTGTTTTGAACAACATTTAAATATCCGGAATGCTTGAGACAGTGCTACGGCATATTGCAAGGACGTAACCACAGGTGCTTGAGGACAGGACCCCCCCCCCCCCCAATAGACCCCGGGCTTTTTCGACTTCTTTTTATAAACTATCTTTTAGTAACATATTTGTGATATATAATCCATACCATCAGCCCGAAAAATTACGATAAACAAACATTTTGTAAAAATTCGTAACCCACTCTAGATCGCTAGCCAAGGGTTTCTGATACGCTTACTCTCCTCATATGAGGAGAGGGTTTATTCCCCGAACGTCTACTCCCTAAAACAACTATTTAACTATCACACTCAATTAAGAGGCCCTCTAAGGGGTCCAGGTAGATTTTACCTGTGTTACCTTGATTTAACAAAGTAGTATAGTTTAATATGTAAATTTTCATTAGATGCTGCCCCCTTACTTTCTGTTGCTGTAAGGTCGAGCGCTGGCGAATTCCAACACTTGAAAAAAAATCTACAAACAGTTAGAGAAAGTCCACCCCTTCCCATACACAAACACACAAAATAGGATTTTAAAGGGTTTTTTTAAATTATTATTTTAATTTTGCTTGTCATATTTCTTTGGGAGGTCGACCCTTCCCCACTGTTTAAACCATAGGTACCTCTTTGTTTGAAAGCAATATCTAAAGTTAGCACCGTTTTGTTTACATCAAATTCAGACACTTAGTATCATTTTTGAAAGAGGAAGTGGGGGGGGGGGAGAAAATTTTTTGACAACTTACTTTTAAAAATATTGTCCACAACCCAATTTTATTGGGGGGGGGGGTTAAAATTCAAACTAAAGAGTTTTTTTTTTCCCAAAAAATTAGGGATGTCAACGAATATTCGAACATTCGAATATTCATTCGATGAGTTAATATTCGAATATGAATTTGAGATTCGAATATTCGGTGGTTTTCAGATTTCACAAAAAAGGTAATAAATTTTAATTAGAACAGTTCTGGAATTATCCCCGTTTTATTTACCAGCGATCCCCTGATTCCTTTCGCTACTTTCTTGTCTTATAGATCTTCCAATTTTTTTTCATTTTGAGTAAGGTATAAAGAAATAGTAAGGTATATAGAAATAAACAAGGACTATTAATGTATGATACAAAAAGTACTTTCAGTAGTTTAATATGATCGGATCTAGAACCGAGGACAACGAAATGAAACCTTTTTGAATGTCTAAGAGACGTGAAGGATGTACTTATGAAAATAATTTTTATTGATCATTGAATTACATCTTTGATAGAATCAGCCTGTAATATTGTAAAGGGCTCATTTTCAGAATAATGCATCAATAACTTGATTATCTCGGGTTAAATATGATTTTAAAAATTTAAAATCATTATCGGGAAATTAATGAGCTAGGAAAATTGTCCATGGAATTGTTTGTTTATATTGTCAAAACATTGTATCAAAGATTATATTACATCTTTTATTAAGCAGATAATTGTAATTAATTACGTGTTTTTGAATCTGAAGAGTAAACGACAATCTTGCCCCTGGTTAAACCACTGGTTCGTTGGTTTGAACTTGTATAGATATCATTTGTTACATTTATATTTCGGTTGTATACACTTAAATCAATCATTTATTTCAAACATTGACAGATGTCAAATGTAGAATTCCTTATTGTGCGCCTACAAAAGTCTATGTCCAATTTTACTTCCAAATACCGACGCAAACCTGCCATGAGAGTATAATGATGTACATTTGAAATTAACTAAATTTTATTTATTTTATCGAATATTCGAATATATTCGAATACTTTCATTGAATATTCGAATATGAATAATGGACAAAATTGACATCCCTACAAAAAATCGTATCTTACGCTTCTTGATAAATTTTTACCAAAATAATTTATATTGAGATTTGAGTTTCATGATGCAAACTAACAAAGATTTTGAAATCATTCATTGTTATAATATTTAAAATTTATGCTCTGAAACAGTGATTAAAACTAAATTAAATTAAAAAGTATCTAAAGCAAAATTTATTTAACTCTTTATAAGATATATTGAAAAGAAAAATGACATATGATCGATAGATTTTTCCTGTTTTAAAAAGAATGCTACTTACATGTTTACCGAAATTTTATTTAGCCAATCTTTAAGACATTCTCTGAAATATGGCTTAAGTATGGAAAGATTGATATTAACTTTAATCAATTTTTATGAATTTTGGGTTTTTTTGGGGGGGAGATAATGCAAAGATTGTTTTAATTGCAAATAAGATCCTTTAGTGTTTAAAGTTTGCCGTAAATAAATGCACAATATCAATATATAATAAAACATGTCAAGAAAAGTCAGATAAACTTATTTTATTTTTGCTAAAAAATATTATTTATGGAAGAAAAACGCATTATTTTTAGCATTTTTTTTTAATCAATGGATAAAATCTTCAAGATTTTTATATTTCCTCTGAAAAAAAATCATGTAAAAAAATTTATATATTTAATCAATTTTCCCATGCTGAAAGCATTTTTTCAGAAGAGATGCCTTAAAGATCCCAAAATTAATGTTGCTGTAGAATTCCTCCTTCAATAAATACAGGTATAGTTAGTTCATAAATGATTTTAAACTCTACCTGTACCCCTTAGAGGGCCCCTTAATTGATTGTGATAATTATGTTCCCCAAACGAAGTTTGGGAACATATTGTTTTTACTCTGTTTCTTCTTATTATTATTATTAAGTCTTCCGTTCACAACGGAAGACTTATAGTGATTGTATTGTTTCTTTTTATTATTATTATTATTATTCCTCCCAAATTTTGTGAGCGCGATTACTCAGAGATGGTTGGATAGATTTTCACAATTTTTCACATGATAGTAGGCTGATATATGAAGTTTATATAAAATTCCGTTTTTTGAAAAATTCACTTCCGGTCCGAAGTTACGGCCGAATTTCCAATTTTTAAATGGACTTTTGTCCGGAATTTTTCTCGGAAACGGTTTGAGGTAAAGATGTGAAATTTACAGGGGTATTAGATCATGACATTCTCTTTGTTTCGAAGTTGTTTTCGTGTGTTTCCGGTACTTCCTGTTCGAACCGGAAGTGAACTTGTGTTTGGTCAATTTTCAACTTTTTTGTTTTTTAATATTTTTTCAAGATATTATTATGTATAACAGAGGTTATTCTACAAATACTAAATATATAATTTGTTTTGAAATCAGATTCCACATTTTGCAGATTTTCGGTACCCTCATTTTCCCTATTTACCTAGTGTGTAGACAATGGGCAAAGAAAGATAACTATGACTTGTAAGTGAGAATAGAACTTTCGAGATAAAGGCGGAAATAGTATCGATGACGTTAGAGACATATACACTCTCCATATCAAAATATTTAGACGTTCTATATTCACTCTTCAAAATTTAAGAGGACGTTGGTTACCGCTTCCAGTGCATGTAAAGTTTGAAGTTGCCAGTGTAGTGTAAGTCTGTATTGACAGTTAGTTAATTTACACATGAATATATCTAAAAAAATTAATATATATATGTTAGGTAGCTAATTCAAGTAAATATATTATAAGCACTGAATATACATTTATAGTGATGGACAGGCATGCAGTTTTATCTATTTCGTATATTAAGTTCAGAATACGATAGTTATAAGCCTTCTATAATGCAGACGATTTATTATTCTCTATGATCTGAATGCGAAATTATCCCGATTTCCGAGTTTTACTTTCGATATTAAAAAATATTACATACACTCAAAAAAGGAATTAAGCGATAGAAAATTGTAATACAGTACTGTTTTAAAGCCTTTATAAATAAATTGATATCTGCCACTTAAAGAAAATCAATCTATAGATTATATTTGGTTATTACATGTATATTTGATAAAAAGTTGAATTATTTATGACACATGATCTATACTCTATATACCCAAGGAGTTATAAAAGATGTGAAAGGCGATTCTTGGATTCTTGTGAAATACTCAAAGAGTTAAAAAAAAAATATGTGAAAACGCGATTCTGTGTGAAATAATGCTTCGCTATATCTTTCTTTTGAAAAAAAAACATGATAAAAAATTGCACAGGTCTGTTGATATGTGGGATGAGTATACCTGAATGAACACAATTTTATGCAATTATATATAATTATGTACATGCAACTGACCTGTTCTTTTCCTTATAATTCATAAAACATAAAACTATCTAATTCCTTTGAAGCCGCCCCCGCCCCCCCCCCCCCCTCGGTCTTGATTAATATTTGGAGATGTTAGTGCAGCTAGGCATTTGAATTATATAATCGTTTTAGATTTAAATCTGGAACATGTGGTTATAAATACATTACATGTATACAGAATTTCATATTCTATAATGGTAGATTTGTCATTATGATACTGAAATGTTCAATTTACATGTCTGAGAGAGAGAGAGGAAGAGAGAGAGAGAGATTCCCTCTTAATCCCGATCCTCCTTTCCATTTACATAGACCAAAAATTAGTTCTATATCAGTGACACCCATTCTTTATTAAATGTTTTTTGATTTCATAGTCAGTCATGGTCACATCCTGTATATTTTTCTGCTTAAAAAGTATTACACGAAGTGCACGTGTGTTGACCTGTCAATCAAAATAACCTGACGCTGTATGCACTGCAAAAAAGTAGCCTGAGTTCGAAATGATCTTGAAGTATGATCTTTAAGTACATCTGATGCAACAAACTTGTGAAAAAATAAAATAAAATAAAATATCGCGGTATAATAAACTTCGATTGTGGGACGTGGAGACCGGTCCTTGGGATGAGATCGTATAAATCGAGGTCCCGTGTCGCAGAAGGTGCTGGCACAAAAAAGATTATTCACTGCTCAATGGTGATAAATGCCAAAGTATAAGTATACTCCGGCGAGCGGTGGCGTCTCCATGTGAGTGAA